AGCGAAAAAAAAAAAACGGGCCACGAAAAACGATATTACTGCCTTTTCAAACTTGGGGCCTTACCGCCTTCTGCTGTTATGACTGCCTTTTCCAACTACGGCCATCCTTCCGTGGCCCATCATTGTTTTTTTTGCTTTTACAGTTTGAAAATGTGGTACTACCGCACTTGTCCCAAAAAAAAAAGAAGGAATTCCAGCATGTCATGATGAGGCCTTGCCAGTTCTGTGGCATGAGGCTGCCGAACCGTTCGGTTTGTGGTCAGAAGCGGCCTTCGGTGGGGCCGCCATGGGGGGGCACTTCCCACGGGGTGGCTTTTCTTTTGGCTGATATTGTGGATGTCACGCGCCGGGGCCATGTCCCAACACAGCAGTTTGGGACCAGCAGCATTGGCCACAGCTCTGTTAGTCACTTAGGTTCATACTGTGGAAGGGTTTGTTGCTGGGGAGGGCTGCGTGGACATGAGGCAAAAACGGTTGGACTGGGCAGCCTGCGAGGACGCATTGTGGTGATTGCATTGTCACGGAGGTGCACATTCATTCTTACGTGCACGACAGATTATGTGTGTGTGTGTGTGTGTGTGTGTGTGTGTGTGTGTGTGTGACCCCGAGACCGGTGCCGCAGTGGTGGGTGATGCGGCGTGCCCCAGAAATCTGGAGGAACCTAGAGACAATGCACAAGACGATTAGTGCATGTGGCTTCGGAGAATGCAATGTAGAAAGTTTGACCATCCTCTTGGAGTACTGCGCCCGTTTCTGAGTCACTCTGTTACGCGGTTTCAGCAACCGTTGGATCTAGTACAGATCTTGGCTTATGCAATCCAGCGGTGGGCACATGGAGACAGCCATAGGCATAGCAGCGCTGCCTTCGGAATGGGGAAGACCAGCGAAGTGTGCAGGAGCTGCATGTACTTCACAAGTAAGTCTCGACTTCACAGCAGAGAGAGAGAGAGAGAGAGAGAGAGAGAGAGAGAGAGAGAGAGAGAGAGAGAGAGAGAGTATGGGCATGATGGGGGAGAGTGGCCCAGCGTATAAGCAAGTGCCCTTTGATGCCATCGATGAAGTGTACTTCCTTAATGCATCCTTGCACATCCTGTTGTCCATCGTGGACAGGAGCTGCATCATCAGCCTGCATGTACTTCACGAGTACTTGATCAACAGGGTGGAGAACATGGTTGTCACTATCAACAAGGGAGGGCTCAAGGAGATTAGTCGCCTCAAGCAGGACTCAACGAATGTGTGAGCTTGGGCAACGAAGGCTGTGCAACAAGTGGAGGAAGTGGCGGGTGGTGTGGGTTGCTGTTTGGGGGAACTTGCGAGGAAGTTGACAGAGTTGCAGGGACGTAGTGACATCCGGAAAGAGGACCAAGGCAAGGCTACAACTCCGCGTCATGTGCCAAGGACTTGCTTGAGAAGAAGTGAAGAAACTGGTCGATCGTGTGCGCGAACTAGGAGGAGATGAGGTGATCCGTTGATTGGATGGCGAGACATCGAATGTGGGCAACAGAAGGGGGGAAGGGGAGATCATCTGCAATGATGCTCTTGAAGATGACATCTTCAAATCCTCCGGTGAAGAAGAGAGAACAATGCCCTTGTCCCTAGCCCCGCTATGTGAGCATGGACAAGCCACAATGATTGTGCTCTGGATGAGGACAGTGCTCCAGGGACAACTGTACGCAGACTGGTTGCGGAATTACGTCACTTCATGTAACATCTGTTCTCGATGCTCGCTTGTATTTGGCCCGCTTAGTGTTGTGGTTTACATGGGTGATTGTCGTGCATTCATGGGTGCTGTGCTCGCAACTGCTCGGAGGTGTTGTAATTTTGCTGTCATGATTCATAGTGTGTTACAGAAACGGATGTGAATTTGAACATGAACAGGGAGGAACGGTTGTCGTGTCTGTCAGCCTTTGTCATGAAACCACAAATTTGAAGAGGGGAGCACGTTCTTGAGCATGGTTCGTTTCTATGACATCGCATGGTTCTTGGCCTTCTCGGATCTCTCTCTGTCTCAAGAGAGAGAGAGAGAGAGAGAGAGAGAGAGAGAGAGAGAGAGAGAGAGAGAGAGAGAGAGAGAGAGAGAGAGAGAGAGAGAGAGAGNAGAGAGAGAGAGAGAGAGAGAGAGAGAGAGAGAGAGAGAGAGAGAGAGAGAGAGAGAGAGAGTGGAACTTTATCTCGATCTGCAGAATAATGTGCATGACATGGACCTGAGTAGCATGCATGCATTTGGCATCGCCCAGGTCATTTCAGTGCTGTTACCTTTGCGGATAATTCATGGACCCTATGGAATAATGTCAGTAGGGTGCACTCACTGTGTGATATTACCTCTTAGGCTCTTACTATCACCGAGTGGCTGGTCTGTCAATCAGGAACAGTATGCGAATGTGCACTCACAAGCTCTACAGCTTTCAGATATCAATCTGGCGAGCCCTCCGCCCTCCCCTCTACCTAGCGAGGCTGTGTCGCCTGCCAGTGAAATTCTGATGGATGTCCCAGGTACTGCAGGAGTGCTGGAAATAAGGTGTCATCTGGGATGTCCCATGGCCTGATTAGCTGTAGATCCATAGGAAAGCAATATTAAGTTGAAGAAGATGAGATGAGCAATGAGCATTAGGGTCTCGCTCCACTACTATCTGCTGTACGATTTCAGATAGTGGGACACCACTCTACTACTATCCGAAATGTACCTTCGGAAATCACCGTATAGCCCTCCAAATTAGCCATACGGTCCGGTATAGGTCCCAGCCAGCAAAAGTCGTTACTCGGAGGGTGGTGGAAGGAGGTTGGCGTTCTACAGCGAAATCGTATGGAGCACCTGGAGTCTGGGCTGTCAAAGTGCTGTCTTGTAGTACACTCAGGAAGTGGAGACTCATACAGCAGATAGTAAGTGGAGTGATGCCAGGTTTTATACGTTTTTTTTAAGCTCTAAAGGCTCACACTGCCGAGGAAACTTTACCCAGCAGTACTGTTCCCCGCTTGGAAAACAAGGTCGCGGCTCGTTGACGGCCTCATTTTTCAGGGGTTTGGGTATCGGCCGGAATGGCTGGGGACGCCAGCCAAAAGAAGCCCCACGTATCTTCTTTCATTTTTGGCGTGCAGGGCGAACTTAGGCCTGGCATCAATAGCTGGTGGTTTAATCCTTCCGGCAGAATCTCAGTTTGTGGAAAGAAAATGAATCTGAATTAGCACTGGACTACTAGTGCATATGGGGCCCACCGTGTGTCATGGCCTTTGAGAAGGGGGAATCCAAAGTTTGAAACCTATA